ACGAAACACATTGACATTAGGCACCATTTCATTAGAGATCATGTTCTCAAAGGTGATGTCGAAATTGAGTTTGTTGAAACACACAACCAATTGGCCGACATTTTCACAAAACCTTTAGAGAAAGAGTCGTTCTTCCGCATTCGTAGCGAACTCGGAATCCTTGACTCCACGATGATCTAATTTGTGCATTTTATCATTCCTTTATTGTTAATAGAACGTTTACTAACTTGAGCGTCGGAGGGTTTTCTAACTCTTTTTTGCAGGGACGGTTCGAAGTGAAGAACTCTGGAAATCAGGGGGAACCAGCGATGGGTAGGCCATACCATCGCTGGGAGGGAAGTTTCTCTTTTTCCAGAACCCCTCTTCCCATCGATGGTTTCTTCTTCCCATCGATGGGTAATTGACTCTAATTCTTAAAAAATACTTAACGGATTTCCAGAACACCCTAACCCATCGATGGGTACTTTGTCCCATCGCTGGGTGAAGGACTTTTATCAAATTTTTTTTTTTTCAGAACCTCCCAACCCATCGATGGGAACTTTCTTCCATCGCTGGGTGTTTGACTTAAACTTTTTAACAGATTTCCAGAACGCCTTTACCCATCGATGGGTAGTTTATCCCATCGCTGGGTGAGTTCCTGTTTTTGTTTCAGAACCTCCAAACCCATCGATGGGAAGTTCCTCCCATCGCTGGGTGTTTGACACTATTTTTTAAAAAATTCTTTAACGGATTTTCAAAACTACCAACCCAGCGATGGGATGGTATTAACATCGCTGGGAAGGCCATGTTCTCTTTTCCAGAAGCCACCTTCCCATCGATGGGAAAATGCAAACATCGCTGGGAAGGCAGCCTTAATCTCTTCTGTGCTTTCCAGTGGTGATCATCCCATTGATGGTTAGTTCATACCATCGATGGGAGCCTGCCAAAATTCAAAAAAAAATAACCGTTGGGCAATAGATTAAATGCCCAACAGTCATATTTTTTTGAATTCTTCTCGGTTTTTCCACTCCTTCCCTATATATATTCACCATATTTGGTCATTCATCCTCACAATTCTCCTCCATATTTCATAGTTCATCTTTTATTCTTCACAATTCTTCAAATTCTTGCTTCAATCATGGACGGAGGAAAGAAGACAAAAGCTTCGAAGAAGAAGGCCGCCGCCGAGGCTACGAGCTCTGCGCCTCAACCCTTTCCATACCTGGACGGATC